TGTCTGTAAATTGAGTAATTTACTGTAAATTTACAGACTATGTAAATTGATCAGCTTTTCCAGTGTAAAAGTCTCAGTTATATTTTCTACATTTCGAATGTTTGCGCTTCTCTTTGATGTTGTAAATGCTCTCTAATTTACAGGCTATGTGTGTCAGTTATTTTCCGTCTCGATCCAGACGGCAATGTAATCAAGCCGCCTGATATCCATCGCAGTGTCGTCTCTTCTTGCTGTAGTCTTACCTTTAAAGAATGCGACGACATCCTTACAGGGAAGTCATCCAGGAAACTTCCTGGAAATATCAAAGAAGATCTACTCATCTTAGAAAACCTGACTCGAAAGATCGCCCTACGGCAGGTCCGGCTAGGGTGTGTATCTGGTGCCATGGAACTGATCCAAAGTAAACAGTCCAAAGGATCCCAGATCATTGAACAACTCATGATAATGGCAAACGCCTCTGTSGCTCAAAGACTTCTTCTCTCTTCAAAGGCTAAAGGCCTCGCGTTGCTACGAAGACAGCTACCGCCCAAGTACCACCAAAGCGAAGATTTGATCAAGTGGTGTTCTGATAACGGAGTTGTCCCAAATGGGTCGCTAACACTACAGCAAATACCCCGAAGCGAAGGTGTAGGAGTGACCAGCGAGGTGAAGGTTGAACTTTCTTGTCTTGGACACATATCGACTGCAGTTAATGCCAAAGATCTCACGCAGCTTACGGAAGCTTTGCTGAAGTGTGATAACACTAGCGAGAGATTAGAAGCACATTCTCGTTTTTATGGAATCCAAGAACGAAGCCAGTACGTGGTTTCTGCTCATTCTATTGGTCCACAGCTAAAGCACTTTGCCTTAGGTAAGTATAATTTTGCAGTTCAATCCAAAACAAAGCTCAAACGTAGACACGTCTGCCTTATCCAATTAGGAAACTCTCGTGCTTCTGTCATTGTTCTGAAATAGCATTGCGCATTGCATTGTGGTCGAATCTTCAATTCACGACTTTCCATACCCAGCATTGTAAAGAGGCGTCAAGGAACACTGAGCACATATCTTTTCTCTTATGCCCACCTGACCTTGACGCCTCGTTTCAATGCTTGTTCGTGGTCACTGAACCTGGGTATGAAAAGTCGCGAATATCTCCATTCATAGAGTATAAATGAAAATATAGAATACGTCTTTTTTCCTATATTAATGTATTTTTATTTTCAAATACAAACAAAAGATCGTGAGCGATGCCAGTGGACCATAGTCCTTTAATGTTGCTCACTTTTACTAGTACAGTTGACTCTCTTTGAACGACCACTCTCGTAAGCGACCATATCCCGTATGCGACCACCTTTTAATTTTCCCGTTATAATTGTTCCCATATAAACTCTGTAAAACATTTCTCTCGTAAGCGACCATCTCTCGTAAGCGACCACTTTTTCCTGATCCCGAGGTGGTCGCTTACGAGAGAGTTGACTGTAAAATTAAATATACGCTCATCTCAAAATTCTGATTCATTAGGTCAAGAGTACTATACACATTTCACCTCCCCCCTAAGAAGATACTTTGATCTTGTTGTACATCGGTGTCTGTTGGCTTTAATCTATGATAAACCTTTTCCATACACTCTGAAAGAGCTYCAAGACATCTGTATACAGTGCCAGGTATTACTTTAAAGAATAACGATTTCTACAATCTCTAATTAGTATTATTACATGCCAATAATCCTCGTTTGTGATGAGCAGGCTGTAACTGGTAAATAGATAAATAAATACTCATTCTGAAATTTCAGATAACCTCAGCCCGGGCAAATGCTTTTGAGAAAAGGTGTACCTCAGTCAGTCAAGCGGAATCCTTGTGCTCTTCGCAGCAGCTACGTGTTGCGAGCATTGAGAAAGTTTCCAGTGAAAGATTGACATTGAATTGCAATATGRATGATAACTGCAGGCCGTATAATCGAAATATTAAAGTTACAGAGCTTGGTGCCTCGAAGGTCAACGTTGAGAATGAACAAGGTACAACTTAGAAATAAAAGGCAATGTGTGGCGACCCCATTTTGTGCAGCAAAGCATTGTGGAAGTTGTAGTCCTCGCACTTTATCATGTCCGCTAAAACAATAGCGGTTTTTGGCTTTTCTTTGCAAAAATAGAAGAAGTAACTGCCGCCTCTACAAGGAAAGCAAAGTTTTAGCATTAAAAATTCATTTTATTCATGGAATTTAAGACATTCAGAAGAGTAMAGTCCCTATAACCTTAAATTTCCCTCCTTTTTTCCTTTTCTTCTATTCATTTTTTTTCTCCTTATTTCAGAACTCGTTATGACGTGGAACAGATGCGACGTGCAGTGCTCSTCAACTCCTTCACAAACAAACCATTCAACTCCCCCAAGGGTACCCCCTGAGTCTGCCAGTAACAGCTACTATGTCAAAGTCCCAGCTACCAGTTGGATCGCATTCATTCAGGAAGTCACACGAGGGAAATTCAAGAGGATTAACAGACAGTGGAATAAAGTGAATTCTAGTTCGTTGGCTGTACACCCTAGTCCATCTACACCCAAAACTGATCCTAAAGAAGGGAAATCCGGTGACATATATACTACTCGTCTTACGACTGGTGGAAAACTGAACGTTCTTCTCGGGAGCGAGGTTTGTTGATTTGGAATAGATGACAGTGAGGACGGTGGGAACTAGCGGTAAACTAGTGTGAGCTGCGTCGGTGTTTCTAAGAAACAGTTGTGTAAAAAGATAAATTTGAAACCGTGAAAAAATAGGTGAAGTAACTTACTGACATTTCAGATGTTAATCCTTCGTCGGAGTAAAGAGATAGAACTGCATGAGTTCCACTTACTTTTTTACGGTGTTAAATTTATCTTTTTACACAACATTGAGGACGCACTAACCGTGGGCAATTTAGGGTTTTTGCTTCCTTTTTGAGCTTATCTTCCATGAAATGATTGAATTATTGTTCCTTTTAACCAGCCCCTTAGTTTAGACTCAGTCCTTGAATTTTAGTGAAATCGAAGAGGTACGAAATTAAAATATTATATTACACATATAAAGGAAGTATTCACAATTAGAGTGTCCTTACTGCGCGTCTCGGGAAGTTGTGTTTTGTGTGTTCACTTTCTCACATGTTAATGTTCTTGGGCTGGTTACACACAAAGGGTGGATAGACTTAGTCCCGATTCAGACGTCGAACCTTTTGTCGTGTATAATCTTAGTTGAGTTTGTGGACATTTCGTACTCTGAATTTATTGTCAACCTATTAAAAAGCCTATAAGTCTATAGACCTTTTCGCGGCTAAAACCAAGGCTGGCAGCAGCTTGCTGCAGCCCTCAAATGATCATGAGTGGCAAGTCAAGTCAAAATTATGACTTTTTACAACAAATATTGTCAGAATGGACAATTTTAGAGTTGTTGCCAAATTACAGGCTCGCGCAACTTGTTTTCTAACAGCGAAAAGGGCTATTGATTTAGACTGCAAACTTCTCGTCAACTACATACAAGGAGTTAGATTAGACGCGACAAAGGGGTGACGTCTAAATCGGGACTTATCCTCTGGTTTTGGATAGCTCTATTCGCCCTTATGCGTCCTGAACTATAACAAAACGTTATGTTTGCAATACAGGTACGTCGAGGACTGCTGCAGCCTGTTATCAAAGGAGTYCAGATATCGCCGTCGTTTTTCTCGTGTGCAAGCCATCGTCATAATCCAGAGTCAGTGTTTTGCCCGACGCTAAGTACTTCAGCTGAGTTTTTGTATCAAGACGTTGAGCACTACAAGACTGTGATGCTGCCTTTAGTTCAAATGGAATCTGCGGCTGGTAGCATTCAGTTGAACAGTACTTGCATCCAGCTTTGTGGAGTTGAACTTTCATGGAGGGTCTCTGGTCACTCAGGTATTACTTGAACTTTTGTAGCTTTTCAAACACTTTCTGAAATGCACAGGCGCGTGRTTTCAAGAATAGGGCGTATTTCGGAGAAGCTTCTCAAATGAACAAATGTTTTGCAAAGCGGTCGCGTATCTTGAAAGMCTTTCATGACGTGATGTGACTCGGGCTCCSTGTAGACGTTTTCAGTGTCTCATTTGATCACGACTTTTAGTTTGTTTCCTACAGGTACATCTCAACCTATATACTAATATATAGAAAGTTGTATTAATTATTAAGTAACAAAATAATAATCGATAATAATTCAATTATAATAATTTATTAATTTTGTTTGTTATTGTTTCATTTTGCCAAYAGTTTRTGGAAGCTTCAAAATCCGCAAAGCYCTTTGTGAATCCCACAACGTGAATCTCTCACCAGGCGATTATCTATGCATCCGYAATGAGAAATTCCCACCTCTACAAACCGCTAACAAAGAAACAAAGCCATGCATAGTAATCCATGGACGTGTCAGTCAACTCACAGAGCACTCAGATCGAATATCCATCTCTATAGACATCAYCGAGCCTGCGAACACATTCTCAGCGGATTTACTTCAAAATCATGCGCAAAAGTATACCATAGAAGTGATCCCACAATGCCGTCGTTACMAGAGCATGTTTGAGGTTCTTSAGSGGYTAGGTGAAGCCCCTGAGATCATACGTTCTATTGTGACGCATCAYGATCTGCCTGGGACYCCTGCAAGGCTCGATATACCGGTGTTGATGCATTTTCCTTTAGATATTGACCAGGTAGCGGCAGTCAAGTCGGCTCTGAATTCCCCATTCACAGTTATMTACGGGCAACCAGGTAAGACAAAGTTAACTCTCGCCATTACGGACACCCTCGGGACCGTAATTAAGTTTCCTCAGTAGCGAGAGTCCGTAATAACTAAATAACTCCCGGACATTCACTTTTGCGGATTTCTTAGTTCAGTCCGGAGGATGTCTAAAATCCACAACCCAATTGGCGGTCAACTGTATTAGTGTTAGGTTTAGAGCRTATATCTGTTCGGGTYTTACATGAAGTACTAACCAAATTCGCTTTTCTKTTCCAAGGAACTGGTAAAACATGGACAGCGGTAGCCATCACGTGTCATTTTATCCATCTCAACTGGCAAGCACGTGCTGGTCAGGTGATGGTCTGCGCTCCAAATAACAAAGCTCTTGACGTCATAGCAAGTAAGTAATTTAGAAAGTGTTAGAAACAATACCTAAGTCAATAAGTGCGTGAATCAAACTTTGATTATGAATGTGTTTGTTTGCTTTTTTAGCTCGCTTTGTTTTGAGTTTGTATTTTTTAGACATTTAGTGCATTGTGTACGTTGTCTGAATTTCAATAGTCAACTTGAGATATTTTGGTTCGATGACTATGTACAAAAGAACGCACACGGGGCTCCGGGAAAACAATGGATAATCTTGATTTATTCTTTTATTTCCCCGGWGCCTCGTCTGCAATTCTTTTGTGCATGGTCACTGAACCAAAATATCTAAAGTCGGCTATTAAAATAGTGTCTGTTTTCTTGTGTGTTTTTTAGAAATGCTTGTTAAGATTCCTTCAGTGAATGTCTTGCGTGTTTACTCCCACGACGACGAACTGCARCCCTCCGTTGTGATAGACGAGTGTAAACCACTGGCCTTGCATCTACGAGTGCGCAGGTCACAAAATCCACATTCCAACGCATTGCGCATGTGTCTTAATGAAATTCGGCAGCTGAGGCAAAGGCTGGAGCTTTGTGAAGCCGCTGACCGTGATAGTCTTCAAAAGAAACTTTTGAGYAAGAARCAGAAATTAACCGCCATMTTAGATGCTGCTGAAGGTCACGAGTTCACCAAGACTTCCGTYCACGTGATCCTCTGCACATGCGCAGAGTCCGGCTCTCCTCGTGTTCTCAAGTTCACCAATATTTCGCAGTGCATTGTGGACGAATGTAACACGTGCATCGATGCAGAATTACTTGTGCCTTTAGTCCTTGGTGGTCAGCAGTGTCAGCACATGGTGTTAATTGGAGACCCCAAACAACTAGTTCCAGTCCTTTACAGTAAAACAGCGGCCAAGCATGGATTGAATCGTTCTCTGTTTGAGGACTTGATCGATAATCGCACTGGAAAGCAGTATGAATGTCGTTTGTTGAGAATGCAGTTTCGAATGGTGAGTTTGAAGTCGTCGCGTCGCAAAGAAGTTCGCTGCAGAGAAGATTACTTGCAAGTTTAAATGATATGCGATCCGGCATTATACATTAGTTGGTGCTTTTGTCCCCGAACTCGATTTTTTGAGGGACGAATTTCAAAGCAATTCGGAAAAGTTCGGTGTTTTGATTGTGGACGGGTGAAATCACCAAATGCAGTCAACCTCTATTAAGCGGCCCTCTATTTATTAGCGGTCACCTTCCATTAAGCGGTCACTCATGAGTTCCCAGTACTATTAAACGGTTACCTGTTCTTTCCCAAAGGTGACAGCTTAATAGAGGTTCGAGTGTAGGGGTTACTGTTTGACCGTTGAAGTTCTAATCTTTCTTCTAAGGAAGTTTCTGTATGTAGAATAAGAAAATATTCCACCGTTTCTGTATTTCAGCATCCAAGTCTTCGAAGTCTCAGTTCCGAGCTATTCTACACAGATAACTATAAACCAGTATTTGACGCACACCAAGTGACCGACTCAGCTGTTTCCATGGAAGGCCTGTGGCCAAACTCACAGGAATATCGTCACGTGTTTTGTCACGTGAGTGGTGAAGAATGTGTCAATCAAACCGACGATTCTGACGCCGATAGATGGAATTCTGAAGAAGTCCAGAAAGTCGTAAGTTTATTGGTATAGAGTGCAAAGGGGCGGAAGGCATCGACCAATAGCATGCTTGCTCATTGTCTTTTGATTAAAGGCGGTTTATGCTACGTCATTAGCGGAAGCAGAAGGAGAAGATATTTTGGACGAGTGAACGGGAAAAAAACATAAGCGCTAGCAAAAAAGAAAAGAGCAAGAAATTGTGTCCATTTTCTTATGTTTGTGCCTATGTTTATGATTAAAAACTATGAGTTGAACCGGCAAGCAAATGCTTAAGCTTATGTCAATTGTAAACCAGCTTGTGTTTTTGATTATGCTGTGAACCGGGCTTAACCTTATCGGGTTTGTCGGCGTCATCCCAGCGTTAGCAGGCCGAAAAGGAGTATGGATTAAAATCTTTCATTGATTAAACATCATGACAATAAGATTTYTTCAGATGGGTCAAATATTAAAAAAAAGCTAAAAGATGCTTTAAGAATGTTTCTAAAAATCTGGCAGAACCAGGGAGAGTGCTCTTCCCACAGACTAACATGATGTATCAGTACTTTCGGAGAGCAATGCGTCCGCCATCTTGAAAAATGAGACCCGAATCACTATATTGTCCCTTAGAACACATTTCGTAGTTGCTAAGTCAACTAATCTATCATTATATCGTATTATGTTAACTTGGCATTAGCTGAGAAGCTTTAAGTTCGTTTAGTAGTTATAATTTAGTGATTCGATACCCACTTTTCTCCGAAAGTACTGATGCATGTATCCATGGTGACTGTCGTTGTCCTCGCGCAGAAGGTTAAATATTATTCTATTATTGTCGTGATTTCTTATAACAGGTTGCTGTTGTGGATCATATCAAGTCATTGGGGTTTACATCAGAGCACATTTGTATCATCTCACCATACATGAACCAACGAAGAAGAATAAATGATGCACTTGATGATCAAACAATACAAATCATATCACCAATAGAATCGCAAGGTATAATAATCTACAACTACACTCTCAAAAATCGACCGCAATGGTCCTCCGACTGGAGCATGATACATACAGCGAAACCTCGTTAATCCGACCACTTAAGGAACCTTGAAAAGTGGTCGTACTAACGGGTTTTCGTATTGACCAGGCAGAAAGTATATACGGGGTGTAATTCACCTGGCCACATAAATGAATCGTTATAAATGGGTGGATGTATTATAAGCGGTTAGTCAAGTACAAGTAAAAACACATAATTATCAAAATAGAAGCATTTGATCGTTGTGTTTTTTAGTCATATCTCCATCTCTTTCTCTCAACAGGAAGTGAGCATCAGTTTGTTGTGTTCTCAGCCGTCCGCTCCAGTGCAACAGGGCATGCTGGGAAGATTGGTTGCCTAGGTGACGTGCATCAATTAAATGTRATATTTACGAGASCTCGTCTTGGGCTGGTTATTATAGGTCAGTATTGAAACACAAAAGTCAAACCTGGAATCACACGTTTCTTCTTTGAATTTCGCAGTGATTTGCAAAGTTGATATATTTTAMATTAAGAAACGCTGTACAGCGACGCCAGTTTGTACAACAAAGCATGCTGGGAGATTGTTCCACGTAGTTTTCTATGTTCCCGAAATGATAGTTCGTCAAGTTTGTTTTTCTTTTATATGTTTCCTTTACAATAACTTGCGTCTTTGCAACGAAAACACGAAAACGGTTTTGTGGAGTCCTTCAGTGGACTTGAAAAGCGGGGAGAAGACTCCATGTACCATCATGCTTTGCGCGCTGCACATTGTATTTGAAGCCGCCATTTTGAGGGCAAGCGATAAATGTTCAGAATCTCTTCTATATGAATGCTTGTGAATGTTTTGATTCATGTTTATTGAAAGCTTTTTAAAATAGTTTCTTTAAAATAGAATTTGAAAAAAAATGGATGTAAAACAATTTTTCTTACTCCGCAGGCAATAGAAATTATCTAAGCACTATTTCTACATGGAGAAGGCTTCTTTTGGAATACGAAAAGTATGATTGCATCGTGGATGGCTCAGTTTGGCCGTGAGTAGACTGCGTACTACCGTGAATATTCAGTCTATCGAAGCATTTATCTTTATTAGTTCTTTAATTTAAAAAAAAATACTCGTTCGGGTGATAGTATTTCAAGGATTTGGTCCACTCCTCATTGAATTATATTGGGGTTATTAAATCGWCATCTCTTGGGGTAGAGAGACCAAATTTACCGACTAAATTATGCTAAATACCTATTTAGGGTAAATATTATGGGATGTATCTAGGGGTGCTGGGGAAACATATGCATATTTTAAAGGATCAGTACAAGAAATATTATTCTAAAGGGTATTACAAAGATAAATTTACAGTCTCTGGAAGTATTCGCACCGTATAGAGGATGATTTTAGTGATATTAGAAAAAAGTACAAAAAAATCAAAAACGTCATACCTTAAAACGCATTAAAAAATACAAAAAATTAAAAAAATCAAAAAAAATGGAGAATTCACCGTTTCGGCTCTAGGGTTCACATGTCATGTCACGTGATCAGGAATGTAAACATAACGCCAAAGTTCGGACATTCTTGTAAGGCCAAGATAGTCATTTGTACGAACTCGCAATGGTTACTACTAAAAGATGTGCTTATGGTATATGCAAAAACGATTCTCGATATCCCAAACGATGGATAAGAAACGCAAGAAATGATCCTGTGAAGTTTTTTTAATATCACTTCCCCGGTTTAGGTCGAAAAAATGAAAGGAGACAGCGCTGGATAGCACAGCTTGTCATCGTGGAGATTCTTTCTTATGATGGCTTATATATACAGAATTCACTTTGTTGGTGGAAATGGGCCAACAGAAGAAAACCCCGACCCAATTTCTGCAGTAGCAAGTAAAGAAAAAGTAAGTTGAAGTATATTTTCCATCATTAAATTCGCTTCACTTTCCGTAGGTCGTGCGTCTAATAATCGTAATAAGCGAACGTTGTCTAGCGATGAAGAACAACGTAAAATAAAGCGGAAACTATCTCTCAAGCAAACAGCAGCTAAGGCTTTCTTAAACTAGGGACAACATCATTAAAATCAAAAGACGTGACAGAAATTGCGGTTAAACAGAAACGTTGTTGAACAGCCGAGAGCTTCGTGTCCTTCGTCGACAACTAACCAGCAATGAAAAGGACGAAAAGCATTTGGAAGACGCTATGAATGAATCTGCTATATTCCATTCAAACAAACTGATAGTCCTAAGTTTGAGTTCCAAAAGAAATTCTATTTATACACTGTAGTATGAATTACGCTTCGATACCGCTGTGTCGCCTTTTACCCCGAAACACTGACTCACTATGTGTAATATTTATGTTGCTCGAAACAGACTCGAGATCTCGAGAGGGATAGTTTCCTTGCTTTTATTTAAAGTTATTCTCTTTCTCTAGAAGATTTTGTCTTACGATTAAGACTCACGACRGCCTACGGGAAAGGAAACGCCGGAATCTTCRCTTAATCTTCAAGTTCTAAACGGTTAAAYATGATGGAAAATATACTTCAACTTACTTTTTCTTTACCATGTTTACTTGCTACTGTAGAAATTGGGTCTGGGTTTTCTTCTGTTGGACCATTTCTACCAACAAAGTGAATTCTGCATATATAAGTTAACCRTCTTTCGTACATAAGAAARAATCCCCACGATGACAAGCTGTGCTATCCAGCGCTGTCTCCTTTCATTTTGTTGACCTGAACCGGGGAWGTGATAAAACTTCACAGGATCATTTCTTGCGTATCTTATCCATCGTTCGGGATATCGAGAATCATTTTTGCATGTGCCGTAAGCACATCTTTTAGTAGTAACCATTGCGAATTCGTACAAATGACTATCGTGACCTTACAAGAATGTCCGAACTTTGGCGTTTTGTTTACATTCCAGATCACGTGACATGACATGTGAACCCTAGAGCCGAAACGGTGAATTGTACAGGAACATAAAATGAAAAAAGAAAACGAAAACAAAACAAAAAGAATAAAAGGAAGTGTACTTATGAAAAATGCTGATGTTGCGCTAAAATGGCGAGGAAAATTATTACAAACATTACAAAACTTTGATAGTTGATACCAAAAAAAATATAACATCACCGAAAAAAAAAACGAAAAAATATATTTAACATGTTAAAGACAACATTACAAAAATAGTAAATATCGCCAAGAATATAGACATGGTAGATAACACAAAATATATAAAGAAATCGAATAATGCAAATACAAATAGAAGAAAAAACATCACCGAAAGTACAACAATCAAGYCAAAGAAACMAAAAAMAWCATTAAAAAATAAAAAAAATAGCAGTGAGAATCTGCCTAAGCTTTTATCTACTTCGCTTGCTGCATGYAAATTGACATTGTATATGCAAGGTCAGCGGAGTTTACGTAAAAGCCGTTTATGATTGGCTGTTTAATGATTGACACATTGGTTGACGAATGTATATAGAATTAATTAGACCTTCAGCCAATTACAAACTAGTATCTATACTTTGTACTGATTTATAGAAAACGTAACAATCTATCGTCCATAGTGATACGYTTCGTACCRTTTTCGTKTTGTCACTTGGTGGARACGCCGACCCTTGCGAAAACGCTACGGAAACGTATTGGCGTGGACGTGACGTGGAGAGATGTTGACCAGAATAGCGTTTTGGTCGTCGTCTTTTATCGTCGTCCAGTTGATTTACTAATACAAAAATAGAACTTATCGTTGTTGACATAATATAATATTCCAACAACCAAATGGAGTAATATTAAGAAACCTCTGAAAAAAAGAGAAAGAAAAGAAAAATGAAAAACAATAAAATACAAAGTGTAAATAAATACGTGCATCATGAATTCGGAGAGCGATGCGTCCGCCATCTTGAAAAGTGGGAGGAGTTGTAATTTAGTGATTCGAGTCTCACTTTTCAATATGACGGACGCATTGTTGTTCGAAASTCTTGATTCATGTGTGCAAATGAGCTAAAGACGTAAAATAGAATGACACTAATACAACGCCTTAGTCATATAAGCTTTAATAATTCTATTGTTTTGGGTTTATTTGACTATTRCRCTTAAACATTTGTTTATTGTCTTAGAGTGATTTTCATTTACCCGTGAAACAATATGACGACCATTCTAAAGCTAATTCAGTGGTTTTTCRTTACCCGTGAAACAAAAGGTAATRCTCAATKTATAATAATGTCGTACACACAGAAATGACAAAGAAAAACGCTTAAAATAAGCAACAGAGTGAAGTAATTTAAACTGCATTYCACGGGTATATGGACAACACTCTTTACGTAATGTGAATATTGTATGGGGTTTGAAAACCACCCCCATTAGACCTGTAGTTATAACAGGCTTTTTATTATTTATTATAAGAATTTTAATATACTGAATTTGATGTATTATTTAGAAGCAGTTTTTAAGTGTTTTTGCTCATTCGTAGCATTTATTCATTATAAAATTCGTTGTGAATAGGAATTTCTTGATTAAACGCATAAACATTCAGTTACAGTTACAACACATATTGTATAGATAATGCAGTCTCCATTAGATGTAGTAGGTACCGCAAAAGAGCTATATAAATAGACGACTTTCGGGTGTTGACGCTTTCAAAAATATTGCGGGTGTGTGCTTGAAAACGAGGTCGTTAGTTTTAGGCAAAATTAAATTWAACTTGAAACTTTGTAATAATATAACCAGGCGCTTCTGACATTCTAAAATGTATCGTAAATCTGCCTGTGTGCCTGCGATGTTTTTAACAGCGCACTCGTTACGCGGAAATCGTCGACTTATACACCCTTTTAATAAGTCCCAAGGTATTGTGTTCTCCGCACTTGACGTAAAATTTATTCTTTTGAATTCCTTTTGTATTGTAAAAATTTCAAAAGAATAAATTTGACGTCAAGTGCGGAGAACACAATACCTTGGGACTTATTAAAAGGGTGTATACAGAACTTTTGCCTGTGTACATCCGTTCCCACCCCAATTCTCCCCCTAAGGGAAAAATTTCTCCCAGAATTTTTGCCCGTAGGGGGGAGGGAAAGGAACGGATGTACACATTATTTTTGTGTATAGTTTAAGTGTATCGTAAGGCGCGGCTAAATAAGCCTCCTTCTCAGCAGAAGCCTGTTCAAATGTCCCCACACGTTRGAGCAAASTTGACTGAATCGCTTGTTTAGGAACYARACGTTTGATATCGCGCCTGTATCATCAACGTTTCTCTSTCAACATAACSCCGAATCATGTAGTAYATGACAACATTTGTGTCYGCGMAAATGTAAAGTCGATTTTATTTGACCGTGCAATGAAAATRACGATTTTAATRTCAGTCCCACTAATCTTTCACGGTSAAATATAAACGACCCTGTCTGCTAAGCAACGAGGARTACATATGCATTATCTTAGTTTTAGCCATGTCTTATTTATTTGAAGAAATCGGGTTCTTTAAACCCGTGAAAAGTGTTAGACTTAAGAMCCTATACTTCCGAATTTCGCTTCATTGGTTATACACAAAGGARTCAATACAAGGCGCCATGTATTATGTCCCATTATTCGTAAGAAAGGCAACAGTTTTTCGCGACATGGAGCCTCATCGTCTTTGTTTGTACTGAGGCGAAATTCGGGAGTTGGCTACTAATAATTAGTTTCTTTTGTAACTATGCAATTGTGTTAGAGTGGTATCCACTGGAAAGTGAAATAGTTATTAAGTTAAAACAGAAACCCATGTTTCTTATGTTTTCTTAACCAGGCTGGTTAAGAGACACTAGTGGACCCTAAAAGCTAGGCCCTACTCCGGGCCAGAAAGTTGCCTTAAGACGCCTTAAGCTGCCACAGTACACCGTCTAATTTACCCTCATTTTTTTTTTTCTAAAGTCACCTAAGTTAGCTTAAGTTTCAGCGACTTTTAAAAGGCGACTTCATGGCCCGGAGTAGGCCTAAAATCTAGTAGACCCTAATCCTATATAAATGACTTGTTTTCTTTTTTTGAGATAGTATGGTTGTTGAGTGTTAGTAATCACAGTCTGATTGAAAACACCCTCTATAATAAAGAATTTTTAAATAAAAAGAAATACATGTGAATCAATGATTTTTATTTATTTATTTATTTATTTATTTATTTATTTATTTATTTATTTATTTATTTATTTATTTATTTATTTATTTATTTATTTATTTTTGTTAAACGACTGTTGCTAGCCAAAACACGAACACTCGAAAATGCGAGCATCTCTTTGTCCGTGTTTCCATGTTTATTCCCGAATTCAAGCCAGTGTTTAAAATGGTAGAGCTAAAATCCCCAAATCTCATAATAAYAACTATAAACAACACTTATAACTTGAAAGCGTTCGATTGGGCTTCCTGTGGAGCCCCACAATGCAACAACCCAAATGATAAAAGAACGCCTGGTAATTTTCTTTCTTCCGATCCACCATCATTGAAAATGGCTGCGAACTTCTGGCTCTCATCTCACCGTAACGAATGGATTTTAAACCGAGAAGAAATTCTAATAGAGAGACAGCAGGACTTGAAAACTCTCACCGAGGCAGAATACCAACAATTTCATATMTTTTACGCGAATTTTATCCAAGCGTTAGGCGAACATCTGAAACTTCGACAGCAAGTGATTGCGACGGCCACGGTATTTTTCAAAAGATTTTACGCCAAGAACTCGCTTAAATGCATCGACGCTTTGCTAGTGGCGCCGACTTGTGTTTATTTATCATCTAAAGTAGAAGAATGTGGGGTTATATCGAATAATCGGCTTAGCACCGCTTGTTCCACAGTTTTAAAGACGAAGTTTACATATGCATTTCAGATGGAGCAGTATCCTTACAGAATGAGTCAGGTAAATATTTGGATGATTTACAGTCAATTCAAAAAACCTATGAAATCRGCCATTCCGAAATTCAAAAGAGAACGAGCGTGAAAATAGTCCATTCTTCTAAAACTGAACCTCACCACATGAAAGACCATACCACAATACTCCAATTTCAAGTTCTGGTTTGCTCTGTGTTAGCCAAGTAACATATTCTATTGTTTCATATAGCTCGAAAAAACGCCGCATGGAATTTGTGAAGAAAGACAATGAATTTGATTTGAAATCTCACACTTTTATTCTCACAATAAGGAATATTTTGCACACAAATGAGGCTAACACAGAGCATTGGAGAATTCGAAACTGGATTATTAGTGTTCTTGTCAAGTTTGAGACTATTTAAGCTTAATTGAATTCTCACAGAGTAGGAATTATTTCAAATTTGTAAAAATTAGAGAGAATGTATGGTTTATGGGGATGCTGCTCAAGAGCTCCATACATTTGTTATTTTTTCCAGTAACTCTGTAATTATTAATCCGAATACGCTCAAACTCAGCAACTATACAAATTTTAGTATGCTCTTTCTTGTCCTGGTGTCTGTTTTTTGATTGCTTTAAACGGTATCGAGTTTGTGATTAGTCATCTCCTTTTTTGAATTTCGGAAATAAATTGTACATTAATACATCTTAGTAAACTATAATTACAATGTTTTGTTTTCTGTCTATTTGGCTATCTTACTTTAATTGTCAAGTTTTGTTTCACTGTCGTTTCTCTGTGTTTCAAGGCATACTGGGAAAGGAAGAGATTGGCTTTCCTTTTCTTTGTCTTTTTCTCCCTTTTCTTTATGTCTTGCAAACTGAGAAAAACTTGAATAATCTTGAATATTATTATGGATTCATAATTTTTCAATTTATCATCTCATKTGCTTTACCTTAGGTACTGGAATGTGAATTTTACCTCCTCGAAATGATGGATTGTTGTTTAATAGTATACCATCCATACCGACCCCTCACGCAGTATGTCTCCGATCTTGCAATGGAAGATGCTATTTTACCGATTGCTTGGAGAATTGTTAACGACAGTCTTAGAACTGATGTCTGTCTTTTATACCCTCCATACTTGATTGCACTGGCTGCAATTCACATGGCGTGTGTAATACAACAGAAAGATACAAAACAGTGGTTTGCCGAACTCTCTGTCGACATGGATAAAATAGTGGAAATAACACAAGAAATTTTAAACTTGTATGAAATATGGAAAAATTTTGATGAGAAAAGTAGTATCAGAAATGTGCTGAACAAGGCTCCTAAGCCTAAAGTTAGGCCATCGTCAACTACTCCCTC